TATATATATATAAGAAAACATCTGTTAATAAAATTTATCTTCCTAATAACAAGAAATTTTGTTTTGTTCTATGTCTTAAGGTGTAGCAAATTTCACTCTTTTACCTTACTCCAATTGATCTACATGAATTGTCTCTTCACACACCTTCAAATTTCATACTTGTATAACATATTGTAGATTTTGACTGAAACAGCAAATTGAAATATTGTAAAGAATAAACAATATTCATATCTTGTTTTCACAATAAAATCTTTTCATTACTATTTAAAAGTGAAACTAATTGCATTTTTAATTCTCATTAGTTTATAGCACTAGAATATAAAATATACACACACACATACCCTATGTCTGTTGCAACAGGCCTTGAATTATCATCATCTAGCAGAAAAAAAGAAGATAATGATATAAACATTTTTCAAAATACAAATGTGAGGACACCAAATATGAGATAAAATTTACCATAGTTTTCTACACTTAATCTTCAAAAGAACAAATAATTTTTTTATTGGCATGTAATGTACAATTACCAAAAAAAAGTAAAATAAAATAAACTCAGTAACAAAGCAAAATGATAAAAATCAATCAATCAACCAAAAGAAAAAATTCATAATTACATTCTGGTGAACCCATATGTAAAGTACAAAATATAACTGACTGCAAATATGCAACAGAACTCAGAATTGAGGAAATAAATATTGCATAAAATTTACAAAGAAACAAGAAGCAATAAATAGACAAGAAGTATTTTATTTCTAAAAACCACAATGATGTACATCCTTGGGTCACTTAGTCACTCAGTGATGTAAATCTTTGGGTTACTTAGTAACTCAACCAGTATATCCTTGGATTACTTAGTAAATCAGTGACATACACTAATGAAACATAGCAATGAATTAATGAAATATGTACTAGTATGAACTAAATCTAACTTTAAAATCTTTATCAAAAATGTATATTTTTTGCTATACATTTTACAGTTTTCATTAAAACATCTAAACAAAACAATACATTTATCAATAGCTAGTTAAAACTTATCTTAAAATTTAAGAGCAAACATAGCTTTGGAAATGGTTGAAGCAAGATGTTGATTACCTTGGTGAAGGCAAAGGAAGGAATTTGGTTTAATTAGATTATCAGATACTTTTTGATAAAAGGCCACATAAAATATTGATGAAAAAATTACCTAAGTCACGGCAAGTGACAAGCTAGTTAATTAGATGGAAAATTATTATGTGGGAGGAGGTGAACTATTGTTAGTAATGGAAATCGGTCTAATTTGGCTAATGTTACAAGTGGTGTGCCCCAGGAACCTATTTTGATCTGAAGCTATTCTCATTTTCATGAATGACATTGATAAGGATACTGTTGGGAAACTGATTAAATGCTGATGATATAAAAATCTTAGGTCTGGCAGGCTATAGTAAGGATCTACAGAGATTTAGGCCATTTGATTAATTGGACAAAAATGTGCAGAGGTTATACGTGTGGGCTGTATTAAGTTACACATATAACTTAACTGATAATTCTCTTAACTATGAGGATGTGGAAAAGGATCTTGAGTTTATGGATGATACAACTCTTATTCTTTTACAACAGTGTTCTATTGTAAGTGGTAAAGCCATGGTTTCATTGTACAAGTTACAATTTATTAAGGTTCATATGGAAAACTGTGTGCACTTTTGATCTACTTATCTAAGGAAATAAATTGAGCTGTTAGAAAGGGTTCGGAGGAGGGCTACTAGGATGATGTTGGAGACGGATTGTCATATGAGGATTATATTGTTCTCTCTTGAAAACATAAAAGTCAGTAATAATGTAATTGAAGTATTTAACATTATTAAGAGACCTGATAAACTTGACATCTTATCCTGAATAATTCTGAAAGCAATAGGTCAAAAGATCAGAGACTTATCTAGTAAGGCAGTTTTATTTCAAGAGCCATAGAAGCTGAAATTTACAAGAGTTTAAGAAAATGGTTGATGAATATTTAGGAAATCAGGGTTGGATTTACTGATTATCTTTCTATTTGTTAAAGGAGGTTAGGAAACATCCTTCATGGGCCAAAAGACCCCTTGTTTCCCATAATTTATGATCAAAAATGTGTACAAGTATACAAAATTGAAGGCAAAAGATCACATTATGTTTTTGAACAACAGGAATAACACATAGTAAGAATAGGAAAAATTTTAATATATAATAACTCAACCTTTTTATTATCTGATAACATCAGATATTAATTAAATAGTTCCTAAAATCGATGTTAAACATGTAGATTGATTGGTTAAAATAAAGATTTTAATTGTGTATTCTAAAACGTTTTTGTTTGTGGATTTTAATATTTTAAATGGATTCTGGTGAAAACAACTAATAAAAAAATTTTTTAGTTATAAAATACAGTTCACTCCACTTATATTTCTTTGTGTACTGAATTATTTCCTTATCTTTCTAGTTCACTTTTCTTTGAATATAGAAATAACATAGTTAATGAATATTGAAACCTCAAGATATGTTTTCATATTTGTTAATAATATTATTTTAATTTGGCAAGTTTCACCATTACTTATTTTATTCTACACAGCATAAAAGCAAAGTCGATTGTAATTGGTATAACTTATTTCAAGGATTCTGAATTATTTGAGATAATTATGAAACACTAATGTCACATTAATAGTGATTTTCTTGTATTAACGTCAATGGTCTTGCAGGCTTAAAAGTGGTTTTAATGATGTAATATACTCTTGACAGTTTTAAAAACATAAGAAACCACACTGAAATTCTCCTTGCCTCGTATACATATGGTAAGTAGAGGCAACTAACAATGCTAATTATTCAGAAAAGTATAAAGTAAGCATATTCAAACTATTACATAACTTTTACCCTTCTTTACTTATAATACTTATTGTTATGTGTACATAGTTATGAGACTAATTCACTATCTACTTTATGTACAAGTACAGCTAGGCAATTATTGGTATTTACTAATTAATTACATTCAATTAATCAAATAGTTCATGCCCCTATAACCTCACCTCCATAAAAGCCAAAGAAGAACTTTTCATAACAACTTTTAAACACTACATTACTCTTTATTACTATTTTTGTGAAAAACATATAAAATATATTTTGCCATAACTTAAAAAAAAAGATAATCTGGATATTTCCTACTTGGTGAATGAATTGAATGAATGAGTTAACTAAATACTACCACATGGTCACCATTATGTTTGTTTTTAAAATATACTGTAATCCCACTTTAATCTTCTGTAAATCAGATAAATTGATAACTACATGATTAAAACATGTTTTACCATCACCAATAAAAGTAATATTATTTTCATTTAAAATATATTAGGACTGCAATTAGAAATAATTAAGTAGCCAGTTAGCCACTTTGCTTGTGTACATTGTTTGAATAGAATAAACATAAAAATAATATTTAATAAAGACTTGAGTCATCAGAATATTTTGCAGTTGCTTATCACACTCACTAAAAAGTAAACTTAACTAAACTTGTCTGACTTGATGACAATTTTATTTCAAATGAGGAAAAAACTAAAAAAAACTTGTTTACAAACACTGCAAATAACTATAGTATACCTATTCAAAAGTAATAACACTGTTATTTTAAATAAAGAACCAAACATCAACAATATATCTTCATTAAGCCATAAGCAGCATCAAGTCACATGACTTCTTTATTTCATATTGTATATACAGTGCCTTGCAAAAGTATTCACCACTACCAATAATGTCACATTGTAATGAAATACAAATAATGTAAATACTTTTTTAATGACATATCTTTTATTCCAAACTTTAATGATCAAACTGAACACTGTTGTATGTGAATGAGGTTGAATATCACCAAAACCTGGACAGAAAATATATAAATTGAAATTTGCTGATTGCATAAGTAGTCAGCCCCATAATTCAGTACATGGTGGAAGCACCTTTGGCAGCAATTATTGCTGTAACTCGTTATGGATAGTTTTCTACCAGCTTTGGTGTAATTTTTGCTCATTCTTCTTGGCAAAACTGCTCCAATTCTTACAAATTCATTGGGGATCACTGATGGACTGTAATCTTCAAGTCTTGCCATAAATTTTCTATTTGATTCAAGTCAGGACTTTGACTGAGCCACTTCAGGACATTCACTTTCTTCTTTTGAAACCACTCCAGTGTGGCTTTGGTCTTGTGCTTTGGGTCATTGTCCTGCTGAAATGCAAATTTTCAGCCCATTTTTAGATTCTTCACTAATTCAAGCAGCTTTTTCACTAGGATTCACCTGTACTTTGCACCATCCATTTTCCCCTCAATCCTAACAAGATTCCCACCACCATGCTTGACAGTTGGGATGGTGTTGACTGGGTGATGTGCTATGTTTGGCTTGCGCTACACATAATGCCTTGAATTTAGACCAAAAAGCTCAATTTTCGTCTCATCTGACCAATGAACCTTCTGCAAGATGTCTGCAGTATCATTTAAATGCTTTGTAACAAATTCCATATGAGATTTAAGATGATTCGTTTTCAGTAATGGCTTCTTTATTGCCACCAGCCTACTCAGGCCAGCTTTGTTTTGGGATCGGGATATTATTGATGTATGAACACTGACCCCCATCTCAGACATGGGACTTTACAAATCTTTCAAAGTCACTGTTGGCTTCACAGCGGCATCTCTAAACAGTTTTCTCCTCGCCTGGCTGCTTAGTTTGGAAGGGCAGCCTGATCTGGGTAGTGAATGGGTAGTATGAAGCACATTCCACTTCTTAATGATGGACGTCACCATACTGAAAGGGACGATCAGCAACTTTGAAATTTTCTTGTAACCTTCTCCAGATCTATGCTTCTCTACCACTTTATCCCTGACTTACTTGGAAAGCTCTAAGTTCTCCATGGTTGGTTTGTCATATCTCTATGCAAGTTAGTTGTGGCTTGAACAGATGCATTTACTCTGAAGTCAAGTCAAACCACTATGATTACACACAGAAAATGACTATTACATTTTGTGACCTTTGAAGTTAAAATTTTGCATCTGAACCAATTTAGGTTTGCTGTAGCAAAGGGGTTGAATACTTATGCAATTGAGAATATTCTAATTTTCTTTGCAAATCTAACTTACATAATATCATCATATTTTTAGCTTTCTCAGTTTGGAGTAGATTGTGTAGATTCTAAATATAAAGTCACATTTGAAAGTTTCATGATTGCAAGTTCAAAAGGCAACAAAATGTGGAAGTTTGCAGGGGGACAAATACTTTTACAAGGCACTGTATATTCCTATGTCTAGATAAGCTTCTTGTAGCTGATTATGACAAAACCTCCTTCACACATTGTACATTAAACCTGCCTCAAAACAGTAAAAGCTTACCTAATATCATTGAAAAACTTTCTGTAGTTTTCAAACAAATATAATTTAACATACAAATATATTCACAATTCACAAATGAAAAGGAACTGAAAGGAACATTTACAGAAACTATTAAACCTATATATTTACTATTATGTAGTAATCTAATTCTTGTTCTATCCAGTCATATTTAACCTTTTTTTTTAGCTGTTTTCAAAGCTGTGTTTCAACAAAGGTCTATATAAAAACTAAGGAAACACTTAAAAATAAAAAAATAGATAATTTTTCTTCAGGGGTGATAATTCTTATGAAAAAGTTATTCTTTGGAAAAAATTGACAAGTGGGTTGTTTTGTTTAAAGGCTGTGCAGAAAAGAAAATCAGTTTTTCTTAATGAATGGCATTAAACTATAAAATATTGATTCTAAAATATATTGCAGTTAAAGTTATTGAACTATATTTAGAATTAACATATAAAACTGACTTTCATATTTTTGTGTCTCAAAATATTCTATCAAGTAGAGAAAAAATATTAAAAGTAGTTATTCAAAGTAAAGCCCAGTAATTTTTTTACTGTTTTCAAGTAGCCTGATTTAAAGTAAAACAATATAAATATCAGAATAATATCAATTTATTTGGTAAGTTAAGGAAGCACCTCAAGGAAAATGATGGAGTGTGAGAAAAAACTAAAAACAACACACCCGTGGGAGACCACACCACTTCTGAGCCAGTTATACTTTTCACCTATTAGTAATGTGTCATTAAGTGAGCAGAGGCATAGAAAAGTTATAGAGTGTACAGTGGCTAGAGCACGACAGACCATAAAGAAGATTTTGACCTCAACCAACACCTGGCAGTATCTGGAATTGTACATCAGTTGCATGGTAAGAAGAGGGTCCTCAACTTTTAACCTCACAGGTACTGGCAGGGAAGAGAAGTTTCTGTACCAAGAACCTGCCTCTGCAAAGCATGTTGAATGTGGTTAGCTGCAGCAGTAACAGCAGTTGTAGTCATGACCATCTGAAGCTACAAGTGCATAACCCACAAAATTGAAAGAGGCAAGAAGATAAATAATTTTCCATAAAAGAGAATACAAATGGTAAATAACAATGTAAGTAAAGCAGAAAAACTAAGAAGGTAAAAACTTGTGGATATGTGAATCAAACCACGAGTGAAAACATGTCTAATCAATAAGATTGCCAATCAAGAAATGATAAAGAGCTGCAAGATTAGAGAGGGTACTAGTTACAATAGAGGTAGTTTTCCACTCCTATTGGTGAAGGGTTGCTTCATAATCATTTGCATGTTAGTATGTAGAGATAAGTGGGAGTATCAAGGCTAGTAGTGAGAGAAAATTTGCACTGAGAGAAGTCAGTATAAGTTGAGAAATATTTTCGAGAGAGAAAGTAAGATATCATATCAGAATTGATAGTTATAACTTTATTTTACAAAGTTTGAAAACCATTAGGGAATAAATGAGAATAAAACTAGAAAGTTTAACCAGATGACAAAGGATTATTGTGTTAACAAGTAACATCATTTTAACTTCTACACTTAACTTTCTTGTTTATGGAACAATGTTATCAAATTTTCATTATTTTTTACATGAAGATATGTAGATATAAGAACTGTAGATATGCATTTTATAGGTTGTAGAGGTTATGCAAATGTAGTATGCATACTGTATGATAGAGAAAAGTATTTATAGCCTTCACACGAACATCATCATTGCACTCTAAAGCCTTCAATTCACAAACATAATTTGAGAAGAAATACTTTTGTAACACATCTGATTTTTTTGTGTACAACAGACTTGTACATTTTACTAAAAGCTTGCTATATTTCATATAAATAAATGTAGTGAATTTGGAATTATAGTAAACATTCTTTCTCCAATATGGGGTCAGTCCAATAGACTGAGCTGAGGTACATTCAGTTAATTAATTTCATATTGTTGTATTACCTTTGAAATAATTAGTTATTGGCTAAGGTCTTAACTGAATTTCTGTTCCCTCTTATACAACATTAAAGAATATAGTACACAAATATATCTCAGCAACCTGACACAATGTAAAAATAAAAGTGTACATACACTTCACTTTACACTTAAGTAGCCTGAGAGTTAACAGTGGATGCTGCCAACCAATTGCTTTCTTCTAGTCAGTAGTTCAAAGTCAATGTTAGTGCCAGATAACTTTAGTAGCTTTACAAAATAAAAGATAGGGTAAGCAAGTTTAGTAGCAATGGGAATCGAACCCAAGACCCTAAAATCACAAGCTCACTCCCCTCCATCGTGTAGCTTTGTGCTCAACAAACAAAAAACATAATAGCAATATTTCAATTATATGGATAACTAGAATAATTAAACAAAGTAAATAATTAGAAATGCTAATACTGATTAGTTGATTATTTTCATGACAATCAATTTTAATGTATTTTGATTAATTGACTACTGGAATAATTAAGAACAGTAATAATCAAAACAATTAATTTTGACAAGTTGATTATTTTTGTGGCCTCAATCAATTAATTATAATTTTGATTAACTGACCACTGGAATAATCAATCAACTAGTTTTTATTAGTTTATTTTCATGACCTTAATTAATTGATTGTAATTTTAATTAACCGACTGTTGGAATAATCAAAATCAATAATAATCCTAACAACTAGTTTTGATTAGTTGATTATTTTCATGACATTAATCCTAATTTTGATTAATCAATTAATTTATGAGACACTAGTTGATGTAATCATTGCTCACAGATAATCAAGTATCCTGTTGTAACATGTACGGTCTCAATACAATAATCACTATTTTAATGTTTTTTTCTATACCTGTATTTCTACTGAACATTTTTGTAAATTGTATTAATATTACATGAATACCGTAATGAATTGAACAAATTCAATACATTCTTATAAAATGATAAAAAAGCAAAAATGTATATCTTCTCAAATTGACAAAAAACCTAATCAAAATTTTATTAGAAGTTTCTTACTATATATAAAAATATAACATTTCCTTTCTTACTATATAAATATATACAGCATTTCTTTACTATATACATAAACCACTTCCTTTCTTACTATATACATACAGTACTTCCTTTCTTATTATATACATATGTATAGCACTTCCTTTCTTACTATATACATATGTATAGAACTTACTTTTTTACTATATACATACAGAACTTCCTTTCTTACTATATACATACAGTACTTCCCTTCTTATTATATATATGTATACAGCACTTCCTTTCTTATTATATAAATGTGTACAGCACTTCCTTTCTTATCATATACATATGTACAGCACTTTCTTTCTCATTAGGTATTTCACTTTCATTCTATATGGCTTTCGTAGTTTTACAAGCTGAGTTAACAATAGGTAAACATTTGATTAATGGGAATTTTGTTAAGTGCACTGTATGAAGGCTCTTCCTTTACAGCACTCAAACAATCCATTATCCCAGGGTGAGAGAGAGAGACAAAAAATATAGTTCAAATTGCACTTAAAAATACAAGTACTTAAGATCCAATTTCAGGAACATTATATTAGTTAACTACCTCTATAAGTAATATACACAAACATGTATGTTTGACGATTAAAAATTTTCAATTAATCTGAAATCTACAGATTATCTGTTTGAATTCTAAGGTTAGTATTTTCTGAGAGATAAATATTATACAATTTAAAACTTAATCCTTCTTACATCTACTGAGCTTCTGCTTTTCATACATTTCTGAGGTTTTGAATGAGTCTGTCCAGTTTCTTTTATCTCCAGTTTTGACATACGATTTTGTTGACTCCCCATGTTTTTTTCTTTTTAAGATTTCCAGTTTCTAAAATAAAGTTTAATAGATTACAGCATATTTTATAAAAAATTTTTAACATGTCCCTCAGGAGCCAAGGGGTGTTTTTACACTACAATTTGTTGAATGTTAAAAGTAAGTTCAATCAGGAAACTCCCAAAGAGTATATTTTCGAAACAACTTTTTTTGTTTGTTAACTGCTAAATTTTTAAGTGAAATACAGCATCCTCAAGTCTCCATACTAGCTAGTACTAAGGTCTACTCGCTGGGAGTAAATTCAATATATATCAATAAAGCCACATTCTCAGCACTACTAATTTAGCAATGGTTAACCTTTTATCCTTCTGCCATCACCTTTTATGTTTAGCTTTCAATTGAGATGTGAACAATTTCACCTGCAATTCAGTAGGGAAGGTCAAAGCATTGAGATAGTCAGCAGTAGGATGAGCTGACAGGAACACTCTGAAAGCAGCTACAGGCATAATATTGTACTTGGCTTGCTGCACAATATCTACCAAGGTGGTTCTAAACAGCTTCTGAATACCTCTGCATGCCATCTGGAGACTTCCATGCATTTTGTGCTTGACAGTTAAGTTCATGATACACTGATGGATTTCAGTCATCTTACCACTTCAAATCACTTTTTGCAGCCTCAGAGCTAAAAGAGTGCAGGAAATGCCTTCTTTTTAGCCAATAAAAATGTCCAAAAATTTTAGTTCAAATTAAGAAAAATTAGATTGGGTAGTTTTTCTCCAACAAAAATGTCTCCCATTGGCTCATGAGGGGCCTGTTAACATACTTAAAATAATTTGTTAAAAATTTCATACTTTCATAAAATGCAAACCAGGAAGACTGAACAGTTATAATGTGTGTATTTCAGTTTCCCTGTTAAAGGTTTTGGTTACAAGACATTTCTTTCAAACTTGAGGCATTAATTCACTTAAATGCATTATTTATACCTTGTGCACACTATTTGTGAAAATGGTTGTCAGAACTTCACCTTTAAATCCATCTGTCTTGAGATATAATTAAACTTTTATGGAGGTTTATTTTCAAAAGTTTTCTAGATGGTGGAAAAATTAGTTCAGTGTAACAAATATTGTCAGCATGTGTATACATCTATGTTTTCAAATATAAAATACAAATAATTTAAATATACATACTTGTATGTTATCCATATGTATATATGAGATACTGACAAGCAAAGCATGCATCTTTCAAAAATAAATGCAATCATAAATACTTGTATTAATGTTCTAAAGTCAACATGTTAACTGAAACAATCTTTTCACATGACCAACATCCTGTACAATGCAGGGACTGATTATACAAGTATTCTATCCATTGATAGTTAGAGATCACTGGAATTAGAAAAGTATAATGATACTGTTTAAGATGTACTTAGGTAAATGTGACACTAATGATTCTTAACTATAATTTATTTTGAATAACTAATATGCTACCATACAATGTAAGCACTAAGTAACTACCCTACAAATCATGTGGAAGCTTCATTTTCAATTACTTGTTATTACTACCTGTAAATAACACATTAGTCCTGTTAGGCTCACCTCTTTGTGTATTTTACCAACTATGTGTGCTGCCCATAATGAATCATTTTTAATGACCACATTACAAACAACACATGTAAGCTGACCCAAGTTATTATATGTAGTTCTTGTTAAGAAATTTAAACCATGTTTATTTATACTAAACTACATATATATATATATATATATATATATATATAGCTAGAAATAAGTATACTACTACGTAGACGTACGACGACGACGACGACGAGGTAAGGTAGGAG